CTGTGGATAAAAACTGGGAGGAACAACTGAGGAGTGAGACAGACTGCACAACCCAGGCTTCCAGCACCTGGAAAATAAAGCCTCAGAACCTCTGGCTGTAAAAATCTGTGGGGGTTTCAGCAGCAGGAGCAACTGCCAGTCTCAGGAGAGTCTGTTGGAGGGGCCTACAGGGTCCTAGAACGTACACAAGCCCGTCTACCTTGGAATGGCACCATTCACTTGTGGGAAGCAGAGCAGGGGAGGGGAAAGTGGCTTAAAGCGGGGCAAGAGCCAACCAAGTGGCATTGTTCCCTCTCTGACCCCTCCCCCACATAGAGCACCACAACATGGCAAAGCAGGTTGCCCCACCCTGGTGAATACCTAAGGCTCCTCGCCTTACAACATAACAGGTGCACTAAGAAATATGGCCCAAATGAAAGGACTGATCACAACTTTAAAAAAAAAAAAAACTTAAGCAACAAGGAGATAGCCAACCTATCAGATGCAGAGTTCAAAACACTGGTAACCAGGATGCTCAGAGAAATGAGTGAGTATGGCCGCAACATAAAGAAGAAGGCTATACAAAGTGAAATAAAGGAAAATATACAGGGGACCAACAATGAAGGGAAGGAAGCCATGACTTAAATCAATAATTTGGGACAAAAGGAAGAAATAAACATCAACCAAAACAGAATGAAGAAAGAATTGTTAAAAAGAAGAAGAACAACAAATTGAAAACATATTTGAAAAAATAATGAAAGAAAACTTTCCCAATCTGGCAAAGGAAATAGATACAAGTCCAGGAAGCCCAGAGTCCCAAACAAGTTGGACCCAAAGAAGACCATACCAAGACACATTATACTTAAAATGCCAAAGACTAAAGATAAAGGGGAGAATCTTAAAAGCAACAAGAGAAAAGAAGAGAGTTACCTACAAAGGAGTTCCCATAAGACTATCAGCTGATTTCTTAATAGAATCCTTACAGGCAAGAATGAGCTAAAAAGAAGTATTCAAAGTCATAAAAGGCAAGGATCTACATCCAAGATTACTGTATGCAACAAGGCTGTCATTTAGAATGGAAGGGTAGATGAAGTGCTTTCCAGATAAGATAAAGCTAGAGGAGTTCTTCATCAAGCCCTTATTATACGAAATGTTAAAGGGACTTATCTAAGAAAAAAGATCAAAACTATGAACACTAAAATGACTACAAAATCATAACTATCAACAACTGAACCTAAAAAAAAGAACAGGAACAGAATCACAGCAGTGAAGATCCCATGGAGGGTTATCAGTGAGGAGGAGGGGGAGGAGGGAGAATGGGGGGAAATGGTGCAGGGAATAAAAAGCGTAATTGGTAGGTACAAAATAGGCAGGGGGAGGTTACAGACAGTGTAGGAAATGGAGAAGCCAAAGAGCTTACATGTATGACCCATGGACATGAACTAAGAGGGGGAATGCTGGAGGGAATGGGGGTACCGGGCAGAGAGGGATAAGGGGGAGGAAAAAATGGGACAACTGTAATAGCATAATCAATAAAATATGCTTTAAATAAAGAGTGAACATCTCCATTTTAATCTAAAATGATCTTAACCTAATTTTATATCTATATTTTAAATTATTTTTCTCAAAGGGAGCCTTCCAGTTTTTAGATGCTTTTGGCCCCACAAAAATCTAGATGTGCTCCTGTATAGAAAAACTCAAATGAGACCAGTATAAGAAGGTACTTTGAAAATTCTGTCAGGCTAATCGGAAGTAAAATATTTTTTCCTTTATTTGACTTGCACCTTTTCCTTAGAAGCTAAAGTACTTAATGGGACATCTGACCAACATTTTTATCTTTTTTTAAAAATAAAGATTTAGGCACATTATTTTTAATAGCAATGTAACTATAAATGTCCAAAAGTAAAAGACTGCTTAAATATATTATAATTCCTTAATAAATCAGAATAGTATATAATTAAAAGTGATGCTCTAGACCTACTCAATAAAATGTTTTGAGAAGCAGATTACAAAATATTATGTACAACACCGTAACATTTTTCAAGACTCATAATCATGGAAAATAAGTGCTGGAAAGACAAAGATCCAAAATGTTAATCATGGTTATTTCTGGCTTTGAGGGTTATTGTTGATTTTTTTATTTTGTTCTTAATACTTTATGTATTTTGCACATCATTTAACAAATATTTATTGGGAACCTACTATGTGTAGGCAGTGTCTAGGTTTAGAGTATAAATAAGTAAATAAGGAGACAAAAACCACTGTTCTAGGAACCTCCCTCCCATGAAAGTGGGGTATACACAGAACTCTAAATGAGCGCATTGATCCCGTGGCATTGTTAGAAGGCACTGCAGAGATTAGTGAGGACAGTGGCCAGTGATGGGTACGTGGGAGGTGATCTCAGCTTTCAGTGGGGTGTTCATGGAAGATGTCCCCAAGACAATGACATCTAAACAAAGAAGCCACCAGGGACATGTAGGTCTCTGGGGCAGAGCACAGGATGTGTGAAGGTCCTGAGGTGGGAGTGGGCTTGGCATGTTCCAGGAAGAGCCAGGAGACCCCATGGGGGGTGGCATGAGATCAGAGAGGTGCTGACCTGGGGCCTGTGTGGACATACGCTGTGGGGGCTTCCAGGACATGGTAGGGGCTTAGACACTTTTCATCTGAGAAGGATGGGAAGCCATTGAAGGGTGTTTGAGCCACAGGGTCCCTGTGGCCACTGCTGAGAAGAGACTGGGATCAGGGAAATCAGGTCGAAGGCTTTCACCAGTGTCCAGCCAGGGAGCAGGGCGGCTGGACCATGCAGGGTGAGGTGATGAGAAGTGGTTGGATTCTAGATAGAATTTGAAGATAGAGCCATCAGGATTTGCTAGTGAACTCGTCCATTCATTCATTCATTCATTCATTCAACAAATAGGTGCCAGGAGATATAGACCTGAGTGGAGATGGGAGATGTAGCCCCTTCCTCTGAGGTGTTGGGAATATAACAGGAAAGGACAGACAGAATTGATAAGCTGCTACCTGTGTACAAGGTGTGGGCTGGAGAAGGAGCACTAGGATCATTTCCCAGATGGTCTCCCTCCACAGTAAAGTGTCCCCTGCCTTCCCCATCCCTCCAGCTTTCCCACCAGCCCCAAGACTCTCCAGCTTGTCCTTCTCAATACCATGTCCATCAACACTGCAAGCAACCTGCTGACTCTCTGGAACCTTCTCTCTGCCCTTGCTCTTTCTGTCATCCCAGACTGGTCTCTGAACTAGACTGCTTACGTGGGCCTGGAGTATTTTACATTCATTTTACAAAAAAGGAAACTGAGCCATAGAGAGCTCTCATTGAGCCAAAGGGAAAGTCTGTTTCCTAAGTCTGTAAAAATTTGGTTGGAAGAATCGGGGGGAAAGACCTTTAAAGGGCCTAGGTTTAAAGATAGAAGGCTGGTTGTAGGTCCGTCGAGGAAACTGACTTGCAGCAGAGTTCCCATAGCCTGTGTGTGGAGCTGCTGAGCTAGACGCTGGCTCCCAGCTCCCAGTTCTGTGGCCCATTTCAGTCCCCCGTGGTGATGACTTAGCTCTTTACCAGCGAAAACAGCGTTTCATAACTATAGCATGAGTGCCCCTAGTTGGACGTAGGGTAGGACACTCACTGGACTGCTAAAGCGCCTGTGGAGTACCTTTCCCTGGAAAGCTTTGAGAAGAGACGTCTTGCGGGACCTTGGTTTTAGGTGCAGACCAGCCCGCAGGGCGGTGTCCCCAGGATCGGGTTCTACCCCCACCCCTCCTGATGCAGAGAGGCCAGTGCTTCCCAGCCAGCAAGTGTTTCTGGCAGAGGAGACCTCCTGAGGGTGGCCCCTTAATTCAGCCTTGGTAGCGGGGGAAGGTCAGCTGGGGGACCAGCATGGCCTTGGCTGTATGCTCTTTGTACAACCCCGGTGGCGGATAGCCCGCTCGCCCTGCCTCCCCCTGCATCAGCAGCTCCCTTATTCACAGTCACAGCCCTCCAGGCTCCGCAGGGCCCAGCAGGTCAGAGCAGGCTGGTGGCCATGGCCTCTGGCCCCAAAGGTGAAGCAAGGAAGTGAGAGCTGCTGCACAAACCCTCTCGCCCTCCCTCTCCTGACCCAAAGCCCTTCTTTATGACCTGATCCTCCCAGTGGTCAAGGTCCAGCTGGAGGCTTGCGTGACCACCCAGCCTGAACTGGCCCCTCATCCTCAGAACACACTGCATCTTGCCTGTCCGTAGCACAAGCTGGAGCTGTTGTGTGAGCACACGTCTCTCCTCAGCTGGGCGGTGAGCTCTTGGACACAGGGAACCCCTTTTCATAATCTCATTTGTGGTAGCAGGGTACATGGGTGGCTCCTTACAGTTTTCCAGGATCCCTCAGATGCGGCATCTGCTTCCGGGAGGCTGGGCCAGGGAGCACTGTTACTGTTGACTGGTCTACTCAGAGCCATGGAGCTGGGAATGCGGTCGGCCTGGGTTTCTCTTTATCTGAGTCAAGGGCCTCGGGCCTCCTCTCTGGCGACACTCAGTGTCTCAGCATTATGTCCCCCATGCTCCCTGAGGCCCACAGACAGGACAAGACATGTGGGAAGGGCCTGCTCCTGTGTGGAGGTGGTGGGAACTGTGGGAGTCACACAGGGGAAGGGCTAAGGCACAGGCACTTCCTCGCAGCCTCCCAAAATGTGCAAGAGAAGATGGGAGTACAGGGGCAGAGGTCAGGCTGCTGTGGGGCTGTGGGGAGGAGGAGGCCGCTGTGGATACGGAGGGAGCTCTGAGAGGGCTCCTCAAGCTGGAGGCCTGTGGCCCTGGCACCTCCTTGTTTCAAGCTGCCAGTCCCCCAGCAAGGCCTCAGCTCCCTCTTGCTGCTGGGAGATCCCTAGTATCCAAGTATGGCAGGGGGGAACTTGCAGAGCCCTCACCCCAAGTACCCACTCACGGTGGGCAGAGGATGTAGGATGGGACCTCTCAGAGCCTCTCATTTGCCTGCTTCTTGTCCTCCTCCTGATGATGACTCTTGGTGTCTCTACAGGTCGGAATGAGCTGATTGCCCGCTACATCAAGCTCCGGACAGGGAAGACCCGTACCAGGAAGCAGGTGGGCCCTGGGAGATGGGCATGGGTCCCCGGCGTAGGTACTCGCCTGCTCCCAAGGTGGGCCAGGTCCTCCGCAGGACTAAGTGTGGGCTCTCACTGGGGCTGGCTTGGAGGGATTGTCTTTGGGCATGCCACGGACGGTTCATTTTCCTTGCCATCCCTGCTGCTATCACCTGGGAGGAAATCCCTTGTCTTCCTGTGTAGTCAGCAGCCCCCTCCCCGTCCTTCTTCAAGTCACCAGGGAACAGAAAGTGAAGCCCTGGCACTGCACTTGCACATATTGCCAAACTCTGGATTAGCCAGCACTGAGGAGCCACCATTGACTTACCCTTCCTTTCACTCATTCATGCATCCATTTACTCCTTCAATCCACCGATGTGGATGGAGGCCCATGGAGGGCTGAGGGTCAGGAAGCCAGGGTCGGGTGCACAGGCCATCTGGGAAATAGGGTCAGGAGCCCTCTCTTCTTGCCATAGGTCTCCAGCCACATCCAGGTGCTGGCTCGTCGCAAAGCCCGTGAGATCCAGGCCAAGCTAAAGGTAAGGCCAACAGCAGCGGTGGGAGGAAGGACTTAGGGCATAGATGGGGCTGCTTCCAGGAAGTTGGGGCTCTTTTTCCAGCAGGAAGAGTCTTCCCTTTGTGTTTAGGGGCTGACTGCTTGTGTGTGGAGGCAGCATGCTTCTTGGTTGATGCGGGCAGAGTTTAGCCTGTACCCTCTCCTGTCTACCCAGGGAGGAACACTTGACCTTAGAGCCATGTGTGTGACTGCCAGGCTCCGCAGCGTCCTGGGGGCCATAGGCCGGTCTTCTGCTGTACCCCCCTTCCCCCAGGGGCAGTGCCCTCACCAGATCACAGCAGATTGCCCTCCAGACCCCACCCCTTGAGAGCTCCTCAAGCCCCAGGCTGGTGGCATCAGCCAGAGCCTGCAGGGGTCGAGCAGGGGAGGCCCTGCTCTGGCAGGGGTTGGATGCTGCGGTGGGAGCAGGTGGGCCTCCCCCCGACGGCCCGTTCTCTGGGACTGGCAGTTCCTTCCCCTCCCTGCATCGGCCCTTCCTTGAGGACCACGTGACAGGTGACTGCTCTGTGCAGGGCCAGCTGCTGGCAGCATTCCCCTGAGGGCGGCCCTGCTCCCCACAGGATGCAGGCCTCTCGGACCGGACCGGGGGCCAGGGCCCCTCTCGATGAGCACTAGGAGGAAGGGCTGCCTCATGGAGGTGTTAACAGCAGGGGCTGATCGGCCACTTGGTAGGAAGAGCTAACATTTGGGGGCATTAGACTAAGACCAGCAGTTGACAAACATTTTTTTAAAGCAGTAGAAGCTCCTTTGGGTTTTTTCCCCGTGAACAAAATATCACCGCACTATGTTGTCGAAGGAGCTACTCTGGTTAAAGTACTCTGGCTAGATTGGTGAGGAACAGGCCAGAAGCCAGAGACCCCCTCCTCCTACTCATCTCTTATGCCCATGGCTCTTGACCCTCAGAACCCTGTTTAAAAGCTCTGGACTATGACCTCGGAGGTCCTGTGTGGCCCCAGGAATTCATGGTCCTACGATCCCAACTCTGGAGCCTCTGTGTGAGTAGGTGGGAACTCCTAGGAAGCCACACCCCACTGCCGACTCAGCTCTGTTCCTCCAGCCATCAGCCCAGCTGTCCCCCATCCCCTTTGTCCCTGGACAACTGGCCGGGCCTCAGCTGTCCATCCCTCCCTTCAGGCTGGCACATGTACTTCCAGACAACCCTGAGGGTTCTGGAGCCCAGCCTGCCCTGCGTTTCCCCTCTCCGGTCTGTCTCTGACTCACTGGGACCCCGGGCGGGGACCGGTATGGAAAACAGCCTTTCCAGTGTTGTGACTCACCAAGGGGAAATTTTAATTCCGCTGGGGCCCAGCTGTATGGCTCCTGTTTGCTTGGAGGCATTGCACCTATCCTTGTCCATAGGCTCTAACTTGGGGCCTAGGGACAGCCTTCAGTGGACCTCTTAGACATACATAAAGGGGAGCTATTAGCCCCCTAAATATGCGTATTTTCATGCATATGTATTTTCCTGTGGAGACTGGTCTGAGGATTTCGTCGTATTGTCAAAGGGATCTCAGAGCAAGGTCGGGCAGAAATCCTCTGGGCCTCAGGCTTGGTCTGGCCTGGCCCTGCCCTTGTGCTGAGTGAGCTTAGGAGAACCGCTGCCCCTTCTTGAGCTCCAGTCAGTCTCCCCATCTGCAGATGACAGCGTTAAGCAAGGCAGTGTCTGAGATCCCCCAAAATTCAGTGACTCCCTGACTCTGTAGCCTGGTCACTGATAATCACTCCCCATAACATCCTCACTTTCCCCGATTCCCGCTCCACCCGCAGAGCATGTGGTTCTGGGAGCCCCAGTGGCTTGTTTCGATCAGCTATTGGGAAGGGATGCGAGCTGCCAGCACTGAGTGGCTGGAGTTCTCCGGCCTCATGATGCAGTTGTAACTGCAGGGTCTTCAGGCTTTCTGAGGTACTGCCTGCGGTTCATGTCCTGGACGGAGAGGGCCTGGGCTGACTGGCCCAGGTGGGTTTGGCTTTTGCCTCTAAGCAGTGCGAGTATCCTTGGGAAGAGGCACGCCTGCTGACTATTAGCTAGCTCCCTGTGGTTATCAGACAGCCTGAGAGCAAGGCCCAAGTTTGGCCTCAAAAGAGCAGTGGGTTGGGGATGACCCCAACACTTGTGGGCCAGGTCCTGTTTCCTCTGTGGTGTACACCCGTGCTGTCAAAACCTGACTCGCCTCCCCCTCCCCGGTTTGCTCAGCCCCCGCCAGACCTGCAGAGATCCAGAGGTGAACTGATATGCCAACCTGGGCCAGGCTCCCAGGGCAGACTGTCACTACTGTCAGCACCCTAGTCACCTAACCTCTCTGAGCCTCAGTTTCTTCATCTTAACATGGGGATCCTTCTGCTCCTCCTAGCCTCACAGGAGTGCTGTAATGTTCAGAATCAAAGTGAGATAGTAATCTTGACCTTCTATGGGCCACCTCTGCCATGTGAGCATAAAAGGTCCCTGAGAGGCCAAGTGGAAGGGTCTGTTGTGTTCTGGTTACACAACGGCACAGCGCCGGCAGGCTGGGTGGGCCACCTGGACCCTTCTGAGCCTCACGCCGTGGGGATGCCCCCCTCATGAGGCTCTGGGGACTGAGTGAAATGATTGCGCAAAAATGCCTGTAAGCTGCAAGGAACTCCATTAGTTCGTGTTTTGTTTTATTTTTTAATTTATTGATGAGAGAGAGAGAGAGAAACATTGATTCATTGTTCCACTTATGTATGCATTCATTGCTTGACTCTTGTGTGCGCCCTGACTGTGGATCAAATGCACAACTTTGGCATGTTGGGTTGATGCTCCAACCAGCTGAGCGACCCAGTCACGGCAGTTCTTCACTTGTTTATCGCTCAGGTCAGGTGGGGGTTACATAAAGCTCATTTTCCCCTTAAAACATAGAATTTCTTTCTTTTCTTCTTCTTTATTTTATTTTTTTACATTTAAAAAAATTTACTTTAGAGGAAAACAGAGACATAAGTTTGCTGTTCCACCTATTCATGCATTCATTGGTTGATTTATTTTTTTTAAAGACTTTATTTATTTTTAGAGAGAGGGGAAGGAGGGAGAAAGAGAGGGAGAGAAACATCAATGTGTGGTTGCCACTTGTGTGCCCCACACTGGGGGCCTGGCCCGCAACCCAGGCATGTGCCCAACAGAGAATAAAACCAGCGACCCTTTGGTTTGCAGGCCAACGATCATTCTCTGAGCTGTACCAGCCAGGGCCATTGGTTGAATTTTTTTTTTTAAGATTTTATTTATCTTTAAAGAGAGGGGAAGGGAGGGGAAAAAAAAGAGGGAAACATCAATCGGGTGCATCTCATACGTGCCTTGTCCAGGGATCTAACTCTCAACCCAGGCATGACTCTGACCAGGAAACTAACCAGTGATCTTTGACTTTGCAGAATGATGCCCAACCAACTGAGCCACAGCAGTCAAGGCATTGGTTGATTGTTGTGTGTGCAATGACTGAGATGGAATCCACAACCTTGGCATATCGGGTTGATGCTCCAACCAACTGAGCTATTCTGCCAGGGCAAAACATAGAATTTCTAATCAGAGCTTTTGAGTTGACATGATCCACCTTTTAGTCCCAGTAAAGCAAAACACAGAGAACAATACTAGCTATTCCAGTCTGTATATGAGGTCTTATTTTGGACAGACACGATTCCCACTAGGTTTTTTAAAATATAGAATGTTGTCGATTTTGAAGACCTTTGGAATTGAGGAGCTCAGGATAGGAGCCAGGCTTATAGAAGTATAAAAAATTGCTTGTAATAGTATTATTGTTGTTGTTGTTAGCAGTGTCAGAAGTGCTTACTTGTTTAGAGGCCGAGCAGGGTGAATCCATTCTTCAGGTTGGACCCATGGAGGGCAGACAGCAGTGTTTATATTCTGACCTATGAAAGGTAGGGCATGCCATGGGCACCCACAGGGCCAGATTGAGACATTGAATTCACAGGAGGCTTTTCATGCCTCCAAACAGTCCATGTGACCATTCAGAGGAGATCTGACAGATAATTATGTATCGTCTAGCGTGAACCAGGTGCTGCCCAGCCACCAGAGGTGTGGAGGTGAGCAAGGACTAAAAGGTTCCTGTTCTCAGCTGGTGGTTGCCAGAGGGGAGGGGGGAGGCAGGAGGGTGAAGAAGGTGAAAGGCAATGAGAAGTTCAAACTTCCAGTTATAAAATAAATAAAAAAATACATACACAGGGATGTAGTGTATGGCACAGGGAATATAGCCAGTAATATATGGCGATAACTGCATTGTGACAGGTGGTTACTGGCCTTAGTATGGAGATCATATTGTAAGGCATATAAATGTAAAAGCACCATTTTGTATACATGAAATTAATATGCTATTGTATGGCAACTATAATAAAAAGTTTGTTTTTTAGTCAAATAGCTAGCTAGCTAGCTAGATAAATAAATCGTTCCTGTTGTTAGTAAACTGAAAGAGATGATCTAGCAGGATGTCTCCAAAGTCTCTTTAAGTGCTAATCCAATAGGAAGGGCAAATATTGTGCCTCTTTGACAGATGAGGAGACTGATCCGAGAAACCATATGACCTGCTCAGTCACAAAACAAAGTAATAGCATTGCAAGGGCATAAGGCTGGTCCCCTGGGGCCTAGTCCAGGGCTCTGGCCACTGGCAGGGGACAGCTTCCCTGGCCACAGGCCCTCCCTGCCTCACCTCAGCCTGCCAGAGCAACCCTGCTGAGGTCGTCCCTTCCACTGTCTTCCCCAGGACCAGGCAGCTAAGGACAAGGCCCTGCAGAGCATGGCTGCCATGTCATCCGCCCAGATCATCTCCGCCACAGCCTTCCACAGTAAAATGGCCCTCGCCCGGGGCCCTGGCTGCCCAGCAGTCTCCGGGGTAAGTGGGGCTGCCTGGAGCCAGAGGCCAAACCAGTCCTCTCCTTCTCGCTCCTCCCCCTCCTGTGGAGCCAGGGCACTGGCCAGTCCACATTTCTCTCACTTGAGTCCTCCCGGGCCAGGAGAGCCAGAGGGAAGGAGGGACCAAGGACCAAGGGCCCTGCTGGGCCCCAGCTCAGCCGGTGTTGGACCCGCCTCCCTGGGGGCCGTGGCAGGGACACAGCAGACCTTCCACATGAGACAAAGCCGCCCCCTTTTGCTGACTACCCAAGAGCTCTGCAGAGCCGGCCTCATTTACAGAAGGGGAAGCTGAAGTCCCAGGAGGGGCCGGCCGAGGCCCTAGCACTGGCCTTGCCCCGTGCTGTGCCCCGCCAGGTACTCAGCACCGCTTGCCTGCCAGCTGCAGGGCTGATGTCCACAAGCAAAGTCCTGTTCAGATTGTAGATGTTTCAGCCTAAGACCTGGACCTCAGGCATGGCCCGGTTGGTCACATTTTCAGAATGGTCCAGAAAGGTTCTTCCTTTCCAGGGCTGTGTCCTCACAGGGTTTTCTTGGCTTAGGGACTAAATGGGTCTTCAAGAGCTGTCCGAGGGGTGGTGACAGGCCCTGTCCTGTGCTCAGTGAAGCTCTTGCCTAGCATTTTTTTCAGAGTGTGTTCCAGAGAGCACTAGCCCACAGAGTGTTTAAATACATGTGGCACAAAGTGATTCTGTGCATAAGTAAGTTTGGGGCACTTAGAGCTAAATAGGTTTCCTAACTCCAGGACTGTTAGAGCCTTACATGCTGCTGTGCACTGTGTATCTACCTCTAAAAGAGGCATATAAAATTCTGTTTACCACACGAGGTGTTTCTGCCATGGAGCACCATATCAACAGAGCATCTCCAGAGACTAGAGTTCCTTAAGACACACTTTGGGGTGCTGCTGTCGCCAAGTACTGGACAGTAGCATTAACTCTCGCCCTGCTACCCACTGGTCCAGGCTCAAGCCTCACCTGCCGGCTGAGGCCACTGCACTGACTCCCCACACCAAGGCCCTTGTGCACATGGGCTATGCTGACTCTACACTTTTTGCCTCCTCAGTTTTGGCAAGGAGCTTTGCCGGGCCAAGCCGGAACATCCCATGAGTGAGTATGGCCTGCTGCCCGTTGCTCCCTGAGCTGAACTTGAGTCCATAAACTCATGGAGTTGAGCCTGGGCCCCAGGGTGGCACGGGGCTGCGGTCTGGAGTCCACCTTCTATGAGAGCCTTGAGCTTGGGGATCAGGCTCTCCTGGTCTCAGGCGGCCGTTCAGTCTACATTGTGGACACCCTTGGGTGCATTTGCCCAAGTATCAGTCTGTCCATGGTGTCACAGGGCCAGAACTTGGGACCCCAAGGGAAGGAGGCTAGGAACCAGGGCTCTGGCGGCCTGCGGGAGGGTCAAGGGAGGGGTGGGTTATTCAGTAGACGTGCTGTGTCTGTGAGTCAACCACGAAACCCAAGGGAGATGGTGGGAGAGGAAGCGGGAGGCCAAAGCCCACTAAGGCCACTGATGACCAGACCACCAGATCCTACCACACAGAGTGATGGATGCTGCTCCAGGCTCTGGGGCTGCACCCTGCCCAAGGCTTACACCCCTTCTCCTGTCTCCCGCAGTGTGAAACCTTTCTCTCAACAAACCTACGCTGTCCAGCCTTCACTGCCTCTACCAGGTGGGTCGGCAGTGCACAGCTTCCTCACCCATCGCGCCCTTGCAGCTCCTGCCCCCACATCCCAGACGCCCGACAGCTAGACGCCTCCTGCCTCTCTCAGATGCCACCCTGGCATGTGCTGAGACCATGCACCCCAGTCTCCTGGCTCCACCCTTTTCCCTGCCCAAGTACACACACCTCTTCTCCATGCAGGCCGCTTCCTGCCACTCAGGTTCCCAGTTGTCTTTCCCAGCCTGGGCTCAGGCTGGCAGGGGTGCACATAGTGTAAAGGTCGGTGCCTGCACCCCGGGCACTGTTCCCCTGCTACCGCGGGCCTCGTACACCGTGGTGCAGGAGGTGGCTTCCCTCTTCATGACCCTGTAATCCTGTCCTTCAAACTTCCCAGCCTGGAATGGAACCTTTGTTAGCAAAGGCACCCTCCTGGGAAGAGGCTTGGAGCGTGGGTGGGGCAGACGAAGGTCCAGCCGGCTGGGTCAGCGCCGGAGCTCATTCACTTGCACTGTCCAGGTGACCACCTTTGTCCCTGCCTCTTTCTCAGGAGGGTTCCTCATCATTGTCCACTCTGCAGGATCCTCGCCCTTTTCTGGCTTGGGGAGTAACCTTGCCCACATTCGGGCCTGGCTCTTCTGCTCTGACAGAAGCCCTGCTACCCGCCTAGGGTCCTTGGTGCCGCTCTCTGTCAGCCCTGCGCAGTCCGCCCTCTCTGGTCCTCACCTTACTGACCTCACCGTCTGCTCCCTCCTTCCTAGATCTTGTCTAGGTTACTGCAGCAGCCTCCTATCCAGCTCTGGCTCCGGGTCTCCAGTCTCTTCTCTTCACCCTGTAATCCACCTAGTCATCTTTTGAAAGCACCCATCTCTCCATATTACCTCTAGGTGTAAAACTCTTTAATGACTCTCTGGAGCCTTCAGGGTACAGTCTGAATTCTGTGGTGATGCTTGCAGTGGTCTGTTAGCCTCACCGTTCTCCTCTCTCCCTTCCCTCCTTCCCTCCCCAACCATCACCCATCCCTGCCTCTGGGCTGTGGCTCAGGCTCCCCTCCCTCAGGTTTCTGTGACTGACCTGTGTCTGATTTGTTCATGTCCTCCGTATATTCTGTCCTGTCCGGCACCCAGCTTGCTGATGCATTAAGCACAGGCTAAAGTGTCTTCCTAGCACAGTCTCTCCACCCACCCCTCTGACTACTGTTTCTTCTCCATCTCCTTCCTCCGACCTCAGCACGTGGGCCCCATTCACCAGACTCCCGGCTTGGAACACTGGTATCATCTGGAGGTCGGCCCCACTGCTCTCACCCGTCAGTCGCCAAGGCCTGAGCTTGTGCTCGCTTCATGTCCCTACTGTGTCCCTTCCTCTTTTCCTCTTCACTGCCTTCCTTCATTCAGGTCTTGCGAGGACTGTGCTTCTGATCTGCCTCACCCCACCTGTCCCTCCAAACTGGAATAAGATCTTTCAGAAATGCAGATCTGAGCATTTCACTGCTCTGCTTAAAATCCTCAAGTCTCTCCCGAACTCTCAGGTTAAATTCATACTTGTCTGGCCTGATGCGCCATCTCTTCAGCCTTGTTTCCTGCCACTGGTGCAAACCCGCCCTTCTCTCTAGTTCCACCACAGACTTGAGTTCCCAGACTCACAGAGCGTCTCACAGCCCCCCGACCTCTGCCTCTTCTGTGCCCTCTGCTCGGAATGCCCTTTCCCTGGCTTCACCTACTGCTGTCTACGTCCTAACTCCTTTTGGACATCACCGTCGGAAGAACCTTTTCTGACCACCCTGGAATTGAACTAGGAACTCCTCTTTGGTGCCAAGTGCATACCTTATCAACTTATCCCATTCATGACTTCCTTCATCAGCAGACCTGTATCAGGGTGCCTGTTCTAGGCCAGGCACTGTTCTAGGTGCTACAGAGACAGCAGGGAACCAAACAGGAAACTCTCTTCTCGCAGGGCTTCTGTCATTATATATAATTAGAGATTTATCTGGTCAGCCTCCTGCTGGACCAGAAGCTCCTTGGGGGCGAGGACCCGGCAGAGCCTCCTAGAAGTCCTCGCAGCCCAGCAGGCATCTAGCCTGTCTGGCATGCAGTCTCCCATGAGTGTAGTTTTGTGAGCCAAGGGGGCTGAGTTGTACCTCCCCAACAGGGCTGTTCCAGGACTCCCAACCAGTACTTTGCATGCCCCTCCAGCGGGCCCAGGGTCCGTGCAGAGGGTGTCTGTGGGGAGGGTGTGTGTGAACAGGCTCCCGTGTGCCTCTCCCACTGCCTGCAGGTTTTGAGTCTCCTGCGGGACCCGCCCCATCGCCCTCAGCGCCCCCAGCACCCCCCTGGCAGGGGCGCAGCGTGGCCAGCTCCAAGCTCTGGATGCTGGAGTTTTCTGCCTTCCTGGAGCAGCAGCAAGACCCTGACACGGTAGGTCCTGGCCTCTGTCTGGCCGCTCTTTCACCCTGGAGCTCCCTCACCTTCTCCAGCTCTGCTTCCCCCTGCTTCCGGCTTTCTCTCCCAGCCCTGCTGCCCCACTCCACTTCAGACTTTAATTTAGGTTCCCCGTTCCCTTACAGCCTTGGCTTCCTTGACCTTCTCTCCCCTTTTCCTTTGCTTCCTCAAGTCACCTCCCTCTTCTTTCCTCACTTCATCGTACCTCTCTCCCTGTGTAGCTGTTGCTTCAATCCCAAAGCCCTCCCATGCCTTCTTTGCCACATCCCCGTTCTCTCAGGCCCTCTCCCAGACCTCTGTTCTGCCCTCCATGTCCTTTTCCCTCCCACCCCATCCATCTCCCAGTCCAGAGTTGCTCGTCCCAGCCCCTGCCCCAGGCCCTTCCATCCTTTCCCTGTGGCTCCGAGGAGTCTCCGGTGTCTGACCTGCCTCGCTGGGAGACCAGCTGGGAACAGAGCCCTGCCCTCACCCCTGCCCACTTCAGTATCTTACGTCACCTGCAAAGGTCAAAGTAGCACTTGGAGGAGGCTGAGCCGTCTCACTCTTGCATTTTCTAACTTGTTTTTTAGCTCAGGAACCTGTTACTCAAACAAGGTCTTACTCAGAAGCCCTATGTGTATCACAAAAGTAGGCTTTGATTGTAGCAGCAGAGACACCCAGCCCTGTCTCCAAGGGTGGAGCACAATTTGAAAATGCCTTATCCAGGTCAGTGGTCTTACCTCACAGATGAAATAACAGAGGCCCAAAGATAGAAAAAGATTTGCCTAAAGTGACAAAGGTCAGACTAAGAATAATACAGATAACAACTACAACTTGTTGAGCACTTACTGGGTGCCAGGTACTACACCAGATGCTTTATACCAATAACTTTACATTCAGTCCTTTGATCGTCTCAATTTTACCAGTAGGGAAACTGAGGTCCAGAGAGGTGAAGTTACTTGTTCCAGGTCACATAGCTGAGATCTGAGCTCTTTTCTGTTCTGTCTGCCCTGCTGCCCCCAGCTCTCCCTCAGACCAGCTGTTCTCTCCACAGTACAACAAGCACCTGTTTGTACACATTGGACAGTCAAGCCCTAGCTACAGTGACCCCTACCTCGAAGCTGTGGACATCCGCCAGATTTATGACAAGTTCCCAGAGAAAAAGGGTGGACTCAAGGAGCTCTTTGAACGGGGACCTTCCAATGCCTTTTTTCTCGTGAAGTTCTGGGTAAGCCTTCGATAGACTCTGCCTTCCTACTCCCAGCACGTCGATGAGAGTGAGGAGAGAAGAGGAAGAGTGGGCACACAGTGCCCTTGCCGTGGTGGAAACCTGTGGAGCACAGGGCCAGTGAGAAGGGGAGGAGCGAGCAGCAGTAGCTGAGACTGGGAGTCAGGCCCGTGAGGCTGGAGAACTGGGCTAGTAGGAGGCTGATTTTCTCATCCATGGTAATGGCAACCACACCTGGGCACAAGTACAGCCCTAAGGAGACTGTAGTACTGGAAGAAGCCTTACAGGAGATACTGAGGGGTAGGCGAAGAGCCGATGAGGACCCCTTAGTCACCTGAATCTTCGAATGGCAAGTTCCAAGTTGGTTTCAGGGCCTGGAGCAGGGCAGTTGACCGCATGGCTCCGTGGGTTGGGCATCATCCTTTCAGCAAACTGAAAGGTCTCCGGTTCGATTCCCAGTCAGGGCACATGCCTGGATTGTGGGCCAGGTCCCCAGTTGGAGTCATGCGAGAGGCAACCAATCAATGTTTCTCTCACACATTGATGATTCTCTTTTTCTCCCTCTCTTCCCCTCTCTCTAAAAATAATAACAAAATCTAAAAACAAAAACAAATTTGTCTCCCCTGGCTGGGTAGCTCAGTTGGTTAGTGCATCATCCCAATGTGCCAAGGTTGCAGGTTCGATCCCTGATCAGGGCACATAAAAAATCAGCCAATGAATGCACAGATAAGTGGAACAACAAATTGATGTTTCTCTTTCTCTCTCTCCCCGTCAAATCAATTAAAAAAAAAGAAAGTTCATCTCCAAGGACAGGGCTTGGAGAAATAGACTGTAGAGTTAGGAAATGTCACCCCAAAAGAAATACCCACCAAACTTTACAGCTCAGCCTATAGATTTTGTCTCTGCTGCCCTCCTCACCTTGCCCCTGGACAGGTGTTATATGGGTACATTTTGCCCCTTTCAAAACATCTTCTCTAAGACCAAGAGGCATAATTAATGCCTGCTCTGGGAGCTGACTTTCCAGGGGGCCCCATATACACAAGAAGAGAGGCAGGGAAGAGTCAGAGAAGTGCAAACTAGGCCCGCAGTGAGGAAGTGCAGGAAATCCTAGTTTGCGATCAGAGCCTTTGAATAGTTTCAGAGCATCGACAGGGTGGCTCCTCCTACATTCCTCTCCCTGGCATCCTTGTTAACACCCAGGAGACGGCTCAGGCAGTCTTATCCTTTATGTGGTCCTTGACCTCCTTGATTATCTGAAAGCTTTACTTTTCCTGGAAATAGGCATATTCACACAAAGTTTGATATACATTTCTAGGTGGCTTACAGGCCTGGGCCGGGATTCCTAGCTTAGCTCTCATCCGCAGCCAAACCCATAGAACTGGCTCTCCAGAAGAGGCAAGTGCTGGAATTGAGACCCAAGGCCCCTGGTCTGTAAGATGGTTAGCACTTGCACTCTGCAAGACAGCTTCTTCTATGAGCAGGATGGCATTGGACCTGGGCTATCAGGGGTGGGGAAGCTCTGTTAGGCAGAGACGTGGAAAGGCTGTTGCAGCGTGGGGCTGACCTAAGGAAGTAGGCTCCAGATAGAAGGTCATGGGTCCAGGTGTATGGGAGGGAATAATAGAAAATAAAACTGCAAAGGTGAGTTAGATCCTAGAAGTTCCTGATCATAAAAAAGTTTGACTTTTAATCTATCCTGGGATGAAAAATAGGTAATTGTTTCTTTTACTTTTATCCTGTTTTTGAATCAGTGCATGCTTATATTATTAATTAATGCCAAGAGGCTTTTAAGGAAACATGCCAGATTCTTGTCCCACTCCTCCCAAACCCCATCCCCAAGGCCCAGAGGCAATCGCTCTAAATTTTCACTGATTATTCTGGCGTTTATCTCAGTTCTAAATAATAAGCTTATACTGCCATACCTTGCTATCATGACTAAGACATTTACTGTGGTAGAAAAAAATTAGCTGCATTATACCAATTTCTCCTTATCATACCAGTATTATCATACGACTGAGTTATATAACTTAGTCAAAGCAATTAAATGTTGACACTTTTGACAATGTATGTTGACCACCAGGAGAGCCAAGATTAATTTTATTTCTAGTACAGCTTTTTGTTTTGTCCTATAAATAAGTGGCTTTATCACTTGTATATTTTTAAATAAACCTATTATTAAAATTTTACAGATTGCTTTATTGTAACTACCATATATAAAATTTTTGTTTAATTTCCCCAAAATATTAAGACCTATCAGATAATTTATCAGTTCCCCATTTCTCCTAGGCATCTTTCTCCTAAATGTCCCTGTTCTGCTCCAGTTTAACTGGTTATTCTTCAGGCCTATTGTCATTCTGAGACTTTTTTTTTTAGATTTTATTTATTTTTAGAGAGAAGGAGGGGAAGAGGAGAGAAAGAGAGGGAGCAAAACATTGATGTGAGAGAGAAACATCAGTTGGTTGCCTCTTGCACACAACCACAACCCAGGATCAAACCCACGGCCTAGATATGTGCCCTGACTAGGACTTGAACCTGCAGCCCTTTGGTGTACAGAACGATACTCTAACCAGCTGAGCCATTGGGCAGAGCAAGAGTCATTTTTTAATGCATTACTGTATTATTTTCTAACAGGCATAGTTTGATAGCATTCTAATTCTTTATCCTTTGTTGTGTAACTTGTTCTGGGTGGTTTTGTTGGTCCTTTTTTTTTTTTGTATCTGTAGAAGTTTTGCATTTCTTCTCTATTCCTTATGTTCTTAAATTTCACATTGGTGAGCTCTATTATGTGTGTTATTTTACTTTCTATTTTTAAAGCCAGGCCCTTGGTAGGCCCTTTTAATGAGAGATAGCATCTCTTAATCTTGGGGAATGTGTTTGTATTATTTCTTTGATAATTTCTTTCCCTCTTTTTTTCTGTTTTTTGTTTGTTTGTTTGTTTTTTTCCAGGAACCCCTCTTAGTCTGATGTTGGATCTCCTGGACTTATCATCTATGATTTTTACCATTTTTTTATTTTCAAACTTATTTTCTTGAAGATTTCCTTAATTTCTAAAAAATTCTTCTGACTTAGTTAAGAGTATATGTGAGTTCATATTACATAAAACCCAAAGTAACAGTGGCATAAATACATCGTTTGGGTTTTTGCGTTTTGTTTCTTTTTTCATGTAAAATAAGTTTGGAGGTAGACTGTTCAGGCTGGTCCAATACTTCCTGAGATCACCAGGGACCTGACTCCTCTCTGACTGTCTGCCATCCTCGGTGCATGGTTTCTGTCCTCAAAGTCCTGGCTGCTGGAGTTCCAGCCATCATACCCATATTCCAGGCATCAGGAAGGAGGAAGCCAGCGTAGCCCTTTAAGGAGCCTTCCTGGAAGTCTGACACAACACTTAGTTGTATGTTGCCTCTAGCTACAGAGGAACCAGGGAAATGTACTCTTAGTTGAGTAAATTGCCAGATAAAATCAGGGTTCAGTTGATGGCATTTTTCTCTTTTAGTGGTCAGGGCGCATTGTACACTTAGTAATGAATTAGATTAATGGACTATGGTGGCATTCTCTGCCATCCCTTCTGTCCAGTACTGAATTTTGACCGTAAACTTTTTAATTTTTAAGAGCTCCTTTTTGTTCTTTGATTATATCCTGATCTTGTTGGATAGATACAGTTTTTCTCTTACCTTTCCGGGATTAGGAAGGGGAAATTATTCTTTAAATTTTCTTCTACTCCCTTTGTCTTTGTTTCCCTTTCATTCTTTTGTTCTGTCTGTTTGGTCTCTGGTTTTCAAGTTGGATCATTTTCACAAATATCAGTAATCTTTGGCCATATTTTTTGGCCCATATTTTTTAAAAAACAGCTTTATAATTCACTTACAAATAGTCATATAATTCACTTACTATACAATTCACTTACCATACAATTCACGCACTTAAAGTGTACAATTCAGTGTTGTTTATTGTAATCACAGATCTATGCAACCAGTTAATTTTAGAAAATTTTCATCACCCCAGAGGCAAACCTGTACCCTTGAGCTATCATCCCGCACCCCTACTGCCCCGGCCCTGGGCAGCCACTAATCTACCTTGTCTCTGTACAGCTTAGCCTTTTTGGAACCTTTCATGTAAGTCAAATCATACAGTATGTGGTGTTTGTGTCTGGCTTCTTTCACTTAGCACAAGTGAAGGTTCAGCTATATTGTAGTAGGTATTAGTACTTCATTCCTTTTTAGGGCTGAATAATATTCCATTGTAAGGATATACCACATTTTGTTTTGTTTATATGTCCATCAGTTGATGGGCATTCGGGTTGTTTCCACCTTTTGGTAATTATGCATAATGTTTCTATGAACATTTCTGTACAAGTTGTTGGACATAATGTTTTCATTTCTTTTGGGCACATACGCTGTTGTGGAATTGCTGGGTCATATAGTAACTCTATATTTACCTTTTTTAAGACCTACCAGACTGTCTTCCAATGTGGCTATACCATTTCATTCCCACCAGCTGCGTATGAGGGTCCCAGTTTGTCCACATCCTCCCCAACACTTGACATTCTCTGTGATAATTGCATTCGTATATCTTTTTGGGAGAATTGTCTGTTTGGCTCCTTTGCCCATTTTTCAATTGGGTTATTTGTCTTTTTATTGACTAGTGAGTTGTTTATGTATTATAGATAGAAGTCCCTTATCAGATACATGATCTGCAGATGTTATCTCCCATTCTGTCAGCTGTCTTTTCACATTCTTGATAGTGTCTTTTGAAGCACAAAAGTTTTTCATTTTGTTTAAGTCCAGTTAATTCTTTGTTGTTGTTGTTGTTGTTTTCTGTGCCATTTGTCCCTATTTAATAATAACTGGGAGCTCTGTAAAAGCCAGGAATCGTCACCTGGTGGGCTCCATTTAAGATAATAGGATTGGGAGCCAGCTGTTGTGTTGGGTAAACAAACCAGTAAATGTCAGTGTGTTTACTAGACTTTTTTCTGAGGTGGTTCAGTTTCTCTAGAGAAGGCTTCTTTAATTCTGGCTGCCCCCCCCCCCCCAAAAGGGATATACTTGATCAGTAGAATTCTAGGAGTGGGGCAGGGACAGGGCTAAGGGATCTCACCCTATCTTACACAGGTTTCACTTAATTTTCCTGTTTTCAGGTTTGTCTTTTCCCCATCTTCTAAGCTCTGTTTAATTTCCAAAGATTATCACCCTTTTGTCCTCTGCTGAGGGGTGGGCGCGTCTGCCTGGAGGCCCGCCCATCCGACCTACAGTCTTCAAACAGCCCTTTGTGGCATTTCCTGTGCCGCCCCAGCCCCACTGACCTGGCCCCTCTGGTCCCACGCCTCGCAGGGCTTTTCTGAAGTACATCAGCTCCTTCTTGTCTGTCCCCCCTCGGAAAGCACTTTGAGGTTGGGATTCCTGTGCTTCCTTTGCCCCACAGAAGCCGTTCCCCTTCTGGTCAGCCTGCTCAGATTTGTGGAGCTCTCTTCTCATTTTGGTCCCTTCTCTGCTGTCTTTATGGTGCTGAACATTTAAAAAATTTCTTTGCTGTCGTTCTGGTTGGCTACCTGGAAGGGAAAAAAATGAACTCGAATGGTTTGTCCATTTTAACCAGATGTTCAGGAAAATGGGTTTTAACCTAAGTGCTGCTTGCACAGGCTTGGTAGTTGTTGTTTGGAATGCTGGGTCCAGAAAGATCTAGAGAAAGTGCTGGATTGACTGGAAATATCTGTCATGGCTGTGGCATGGGAAGATAGCAGCACATTGACTATGTATTTGCTGTCCATACTCTATAGGTAATGAGGAACCATTGAAGTTTTTTGAACAGGGTATGACATGGCTAGAGTTGTGCTTAGTTGATGAATGAGCTATCCAGACCGGAAGCAGGTAAGAGACTGCTATAATGCAGGCCAAGAAAGAGGCAGCAGCCTGTTTAGGACCTTAGCCAGAAAGGACTGAACCAATCTTACTTCCCTTTTTTTTCTCCCTGGTCTCCCTTCCAGCCCTGACCATGGGAATTGGAAGCAAGAGGCCTTGCCATGGGCAGCCAGTGAGCATTGTGTGTGCGGCCAGCGATGCCAGCCCCTTCCTGCTGTGTGCCCAGGGAGGCGCCTGGCCCTCCCTTTGGGGAAGCCTACAACCTTCTGCTGAGTCCTGCTTCCCCTCCCCGAAACCTGCCCAGGCTTAGCCTTGACTCAGAAGAAGGAGCTTGGGTAAAGTGACCTGTGGCTCTTCCCCAGCACTGGCAACTGCCCTGAGGGTGCAATTTCAGGTCAGAAGGGAGGCCTGGTTGACAGGAGGCATTTATGGGAACATGACCCTAAAGTTGGGAGATGGCATATTTGGGTCTCTTTTTACTGGCTCCTGCGTTCTTTCAATTGAAGATAATATTGTGCGTTCTTCTAGTCACCATCCTAGGCCTCACAAATAGGGGGAGACTGAGCATGGAGTAGGTAGGGACCTGGCTTTGACATACCCTGCCAGGGTGACACTCTTCCTGTGATTGTTCTTGTTGTAGACGCACAGTGAGGTGGGCCAAGGCGGTCGGTGAAAGGTTATCTCAGGCACTGTTCTCATCATGCCACATACATTACCATGTTGTATCTTTGCCACACGCTCAATGGTAGGTAGAGGTGACAGCCACATTCCATTGCGGGGAAACATGCCGTATCACAGAGAGGTGATACTGCTTACCAGCGTCACCCAGTTCATAGTGGCAGAGCCTGGATTCAGACCCACGCAGTCTGGCTCCAGAACATTAAACTGCCTGCCTTGCAAAGTACCTGGGTCACCCTCCACGCAGGGTCCTGGTGCTCCCTCTGCTCCTGTTAGAGAAGGCTCTGGATTGCCTAAAAAAGGACCCCCAGGCCCTTGTGGAATGGCACAGACTTAGGGCACAGCATGGAGGGCACAGGCTTAGCTCTGTGCTGTTGGGGTTCTCGGGTTTTCTAGAGCCCAGACTTTCCCTTCCAGAAGATGGGGAGGGTTGTCCTGTCTCTTCTGCAGCCTTGCTCGTGGCCCATGTGCTCTGCTCCTTTCTGACTCTGTGGGGAGGTCGGGGGTGGGATTGATGGGAGGAGAAGAGAAAGTAGGGAAGAATGGGAGCCAAGGAAACAGGATTAGGCAGCTTCCAGGCATGGCCTCTCTGTTCTGTTTGGGGGCTGCGCACACCGCTTGTGCTGTGTGGACCCATTGTGGCCTTTGTCTTCCCGGAGCTCACATTCCTGGGGCAGTAGCTGCTGCGCGGGGGAAGCTTGGTGGTCAAACAAGGCCCTCCGAGTGTGTCAGTGGAGCGCAGGGTGCGCAGCACTGGGGCGCAGCTGGCATATGGAGGCTCCAGCCTTGATTTGAGAACTATGTCCCAAGCAGATCTCAGCTTCTCTGGGCCTCTGTTTCTCCCTCTGAAAATGAGCAGTTTGTTTTTGAGGGCTTGCAACAGGCTGTGTCTCTGAAGTCCTGCTGTGTATGGGGTCAGCTGGCAGTGAAGGGAGGCTGTGCGCCTACCACCCTGTGCCCGAGCCGGGCCCTCTCTGAAGGCCTTGGGAAGCATGAGGACAAGTGAAATCAGAGATCTGGGTACCTTGGTGGTCGTCTCGTCTCTCCTCTCCTCCCTTCTGTGGAAGGTAGAGGCACCAGGGAAGCACAAATCTGTGATGTGGATAGAGAAATGCGCCTGTTTGCAAACCAAGAGACTTTGGGTCAACCATGGGGTCCTTGCAGGCAGTGTGGCATCTCAGGCATCTGGACCTGCATCTCCTGGGCCTGGGACCTGGCCACCCCTCCCCAGCCATCAGCTGGTGTGAGACTGGCCACACGCAATGACAACAGCAGCAGAACAGCACCACCGCCCCTGAAGACTTTCTTTCTTCTCCTGCCTCTGAAGACTTTCTTTCTTCTGCCTGGCAGTTTTCCGCCGCCAGCCCCAGGCCTTGTCCAGGCCTCCTCGGGAGCTGGTCAGACCCCCCTGGGGTGGGGGGAGGACTTTGATGTCTCTCACCTGACCTCCCACTAAAATTCCTGCTCTTACTGATGGGATGGCAGCAGTACCTCATAGACTCATGGACCCCTGGGACACATCGTTCCCGGCTGGAAGTGGCGTCTGGGAGCAGGAGGGGTTGAATTGTGAGGCTGTGCCCAGATGGAGTTGTATGCTGGGGTCTGGAGCAGGACTGAGGAGCTGAGACCCCCGCCCTGCTCCCCCAGAACATGTAAGGCCAGCAGCGAGGACAAAGCCCCTCTGTCCTTGGGGTGAGGGCAGAGAGGACTCTTAGATACTGACAGCCATTAACACCAGTCTGCAAATTGAAAATGCCGGGCTGAGCTGAGGCCATGAAGGGAGGAGAGTACCCCAGACTGTCTGCTTAGCCCAGCCTGCTGTTCCTTTTTGGGCCCTGACATTTCTCCCGGGCACATACCAGCACATGACAATGAATCCGAGCCCCTCCAGCCCCCACACCCGGGCTACGGCTGTCCTGGCTCATCTGTCAGTCACCGGATCTCCCACACCTGTTCCGGGCACAGCCTGTGAGCTGCCCACCCACACCACAGCTATGAATAGGGTGGAGGATGGGGAACAAGGGGGCATTCTGAGGGCAGGAGGGCGAGTGGTGGGGGGCACCTCTCGGGATAAGCGGGGTACAGCTCTCCCCTTAGACGGAGAAAGTAGAGAAGCAAGCTTGTTTGGCAGAGGTGCTTAGAGTAGGGAGATACAGGCGTGAGAAGAAGGGGTGGGGTTATAATGAGAGGGATGGGGCATCCTGGGGTGCATTGTCTGCATCGCTGGCGGCTTCTCCTGGGTCTGTGCAGCGTCACCACAGGGCCGGTTCTGGGGCAGACTGGATTTCACGCGGGATATCTGTCTTCCCCCAAACAACCAGCTTGCTTACTCTACTTGCTCTCCCGTAAGTTACAAACTCCTTGAGAGCAGAGACAGTGTTTCAGCGTCTCTGGGCCCCCACTGCCCCCAGCTGTGCTGGGCTCAGGCAGGATAGATGGGTGATTGACTAATTGGAAGGGTCAGGTGAGTGGGAGGTGGTAACAGAAGTGTATTTGAAATGGGGGCAGAGCTGGGGCTCAGAGGACTCCCCCATAAGCAGGGGATTGTAGGTCCCTCCTTGGGACCCAGGGACCACTCTCACCCGGCGCCACCCGGAGGTGAGAGGTGGAACAGCCACACGTGGCCTATGTGGAAGGCCCATCCTGTACCAGACACTGCCCAAGGCCTGGGAAATCTTAGTTCTTGCCTCCAGAGTGCTTACCACCTGGAAGGGACAAGGCCAGCTGAATCAGTCTGGCCAGCACAAGGCAATGAGGGGTCATGTCCAGATCACTCTGGGGGTGCTGGGGCAGCTGCTACCTTTCTTGGTGTAGTAGGAAGAGCCTAGAAGGGTTAGGCCAGTTCTGCCAAAGCCTGGTGCATAGCATTCTTTCAGGTGGCGTGTGAATAAACATTTTTAAAAACAGTTATGCGGTTATTTTCACGTATAATAGAAAAATAGAATCCCTGATTTCACAGATAGGTTGCTAAGAATGAAGTTAAAGAATAAGAGTGAGTTGATGGAGGTCATAGCTGGACATGTGGTAGGTGGTACGTGAACGCAGCACTAATCAAGGGGAAGCCAGCAGTGGCGACCGTGTGAGAGGCGTCATTCTGGGCCATGTCCTGGCCCCTTGGATGTCCCCCCTGACTCCCCTGTGTGCCACGTTGAGGTGCCTGCCCTTCCCAGACAGCTGAGCTTCCTGTCAGTTCTTTTTCAAGCATGGTCCACAATTCTGCCCTGTAACTAATGCAGGTCCCTGTGTTTTCTTCCATTATTTAGGCAGCACAACCTGATTTTGTAGCAGGCCTGCAAGTGGAGAAAGCTGGAAGCTTGCCAAGCTTCTGGTGTCCAGGTTCTTTTTAAGCCCCCCTGATTGCTTCCTGGCCCTGGTACCTGGACTGTGGCCCGCTAGTGTGCCTGCTGACTTACCTGTCATTTCTTGGCTTTCCCTTGTTTCTCTCCAGGCAGACCTCAACACTAATATGGAAGATGAAGGCAGCTCCTTCTATGGGGTCTCGAGCCAATATGAGAGTCCCGAGAACATGATAATTACCTGCTCCACCAAGGTCTGCTCATTTGGCAAGCAGGTGGTAGAGAAAGTGGAGGTAGGAGCGGCCTGTGCATTTGTTAAACCGGACTTTTTCACTAATTCAGACTGGTCTTCATTTGTTCTCCTTTTCCTCCAATTTGTCTGAATTAAGGTTTCTCTTCATAGTCTCTTAGTCATTGATAACCCACCTCATGTTAAACACACCCCGGTGCCCCGCTGGTGCCAGGGAGGAGACATTCCCTTCCCACTATGCACCCGGCTGCACCTTAGATCACTAGAACTCTTGAAACATACCAGTGCCTGAACCCCACTTCACAGCACTTAACCCAGAATTTCTGGGCTGGGATCTGGGCAATAGCTGTTTGTAAAAAGCTCTTCAAGTTATTTATTTTAAATTAAATTTTTACTGTGAAATAATTGTGGGGCAATAGCTGTTTGTAAAAAGCTCTTCAAGTTATTTATTTTAAATTAAATTTTTACTGTGAAATAATTGTGGATCTATATGCGATTGCAATCCCAAGGGCAACATTTGGCGTAACTATTGGCAACCAGGAAACCGACATCAATGCCTCTCACCAATCTGATTAGGATTTCATCGGTTTGCATGTACTCGTTTGTGTGTGTAGATGCAAACACGACAGTTCCATGACCACAAGGATTCCTGTACATCCTTCCCCCTGTTATTTTAGTGTGGGGCCAAGGTTGCATTGTCCTCTATCCTGTCTTGCCTGTTGCCACTGCTCTTATGTCTTGAAGCGCTCCTGTTCCAATACTTAACCTTCTGAGTATCGGAAGTCAAGGCGAATGGTCTTCTGCTGCCACTTGAGCCCCTGTCACTGAGGGAGGAAGGAGGCTCTGTTTTCAAGTGCCTCCAGGCCTTCTGCCTTTTCTTCCCACTTGGGTCATGGAGCTTCCCCATGCAGTCGGGCCTGGGCTGGATGTGGTCAAAAGAGAGTCTAAGCCCTGCTGTCCCCTGGGTCCTACAGACAGAGTATGCCCGCTATGAAAATGGCCACTACTCCTACCGCATCCACCGGTCCCCGCTCTGTGAATACATGATCAACTTCATCCACAAGCTGAAGCACCTGCCTGAGAAGTACATGATGAACAGCGTGCTGGAGAACTTCACCATCCTACAGGTGTTGGGGGGAGCTGGGGATGCTGCAGGAGTGGGGCCGAGGGTCGAGCAGATGGCGTGCCCTCTTCTGGAGCCTTGACGCTGATCTTTTCTCTCACCTGCAGGTGGTCACCAACAGAGACACGCAGGAGACTTTGCTGTGCATTGCATATGTCTTCGAGGTGTCAGCTAGCGAGCACGGGGCTCAACACCACATCTACCGGCTGGTGAAAGAATAAGAGACTCGGGGAGCAGGGAGGGGGAGAAGAGACATTGTGTGTGTAGGGACATGGGGAGGGGACCTGCAGGGGCAGCCCCCTGAAGTGCCAAGAAAGCTGACTCTTCCTACCCAGAAACAAACTGTGCCTGAACCTGCAGTGCCCAACCCCAATAAACCCAAGATGTGTATTTCCAGAGGACCCCATCTGGCTGTAGGAGCTCTGGGAGGGACTGTGGGAGAAGGGGGGCAGTCTGGGAAGTGGGCCGGAAGCAGCCCCAGAGATGTATCTTCAGCAGTTCTGAAGCCATTGCTCCAGTGGACTCGGTCAAGTGCGTCACCAGAGGCTGAACCTCAAGATGGGATGGTCCGTCTGCTGCCTCGAGCCCTGCACCCTGCCGCTGGCCACCCTGGGAGGCCTGAGGACAGGCGCGTGGGCCCTCCATTCTGTGTGTGCCCAGGTGTGCACCACAGTTACGTGGGCGTGGTGCAGCTGCCCTCCCTGGCCACCTCTGCTGCCACTGCCGCGGGGCTGCTAACAGGGCGACTGGTCCAACCCAGGGGGTGATTTTAGGTGACTGAGTTATTGGAAATGTTGGAAGGGGATGCGGAGCCCTTTAATTTTTATCTATCTGCAGTGCTTGTAGATTCCGTGGCTCTGCTTGCTTGTTGGGGGAACTGCGGACCAGAGGAGCCTGGGACAGGGAGGGCAGGCAGGCAGTGCAGAAGCCAGCCTGAGGAGCTGAGGTGCTGAGGCTGGCATCACGCAGCATCTTTGTTGGTGGTGTGGGCGGAGAAAGTCGGTCAGAGGTTTGTGGTGGGCCAGTGGTCTCTGAGACCCTCCCGTTCGGGCGTTCTCTGAGTCTTACCTCCCTCCCAGCCAAGGTGCCTGTCGGGTGGTGACCGCCTCAGAGCCAGTCCAGGCCATCCACTCCCTCCCCAAACAGTAGTTTCTGTGCTCCCTGGGGATGGAGGGGGCTGCGGCATGGAACCCACTCTGGGCCCAGAGGCAACCAACCGAAGGGGTTCCCTGTTTATTTCTCCTGCGAACTGGCAGGGACATTGGGTTTCAGCAGTTCTGGCTTCATCTAGTATTCCTAGCTGCCTGACTTTGGGCAGATGTCTCCATCTTTCTGAGCCTGTATAGGCGGCAGTAAGAGCATCCACCTTAGAAGGCCATAGTGAGGAAGAGAGAGAGTGTCCACAAAGTGCTTGGTGCAAGGTGCCCTGAACAAATGCTACTAAGTAATTCATCTTTCTCTGACCTCAGGGAGGCCTGGGCCTGGCTCTTTGCTGCCATCTAGTGGCTCTTTGTGATCATCCCCAGTGGGAACCACAACCCTGGGAGCCTGTGATTCAAGCTACAGGTGTTTACTATGCCCAGCCCTTGAGGAGATAGTTATGGGAATACACAAAAAGGAAAGACAGCATCTAGGAAGGGGTAAGAGTGTGGTTAGCAGCAAGGGCTCTGGTGTCAGACCACTAGGATTGAAATCCTGGCACTCGTCTTCTGCCTGGCCATGTGACTTTGGGGCAAGTTGCTTAATTTCACCGTGCCTCAGTTTCCCCATCTGTAAAATGGGTATAATAACAGTACCTACCTCGTATATGTAGAGAGCCTAGCATCGTGCTGAACACATGAATGTGTTTGATAAATACACTTTATTATTAATAAGGAGCTTTCAGTCTAAAGAGTTAGATTGGAAAACTGGCTGATCTGATCCTCAGAACAATGGACTTCAGAGATAGGACAGCGCAGGGTGTAGAAGAATCAGGAAAGGGGCCCTAGTTGAGAGGGGCTGCCCCTTAAAGGATGAGCCATGTTTAGATAAGCAAACAGGAAGAAGGCTGGCCGGCTGTCCAGGTGGGGAAAAAGCCAGTTACCCAGTCTCCCTTTGTCCCCCACAGGCCAGCAACCCCTGTCTTTATTAAAAATCAACCAAACATATGGACTACTGCTAGATCTCATGCTAAGTTGCTTAACTCTGCTGTACATGGGGGCCAAGGTGGGGTGTGGGGGTCCCTGGGTGCCCGGCTCTGGTGGCATGTGCTCCTAGGTCTGAGGGTTGGTTTGTGCTCGGCTCTCCTGCCCTTCCCCCACTTGCCGGCACAGCCCTTGCCCTTTCCCCTCCCCTTCCTTTTTCTGGGGCTGGTTGGACAAGGGAGAGCCTGATACCTGGCCTGCTAGCTAGGCTGAATATTCAGACAAGTGCTCAGGAAGGATGTGTGAGCAGCCTCTTCACCATGAGACAAATGCACAAGTTAAGATGATCTTTTTGTGTCGTGGGTGGGAAGGAGGCTGCAGGTGTTGGGGCCAGGTGTTGGCTGTGAGTTTTTCCTTTAGGAACTGACCTCAGTAGCTTAATGGAGAATCACCTGCTTATTCCAAACAAGTCTGCTGTGGGGACCTGTCCCACCAGCATAGGACAGACTGCGACCCTTGGGGCAAACGGGAGACCCACCTGACCCTGCCTTTCCTGCAGCCTCATCTGACACTCCCAGGGCCCCGTGAGTCACCCTTCCGGGCCTGATCTGCCTGCCTTTCAGCCGTGGCACCGCGTGTTCCCTGGCCCTCCGCCCCCACTGGAGAACTGTTACTCTTCAAGAGTCAGCATGGAGTTGCCTCTTCTAATGCAGAAGGGTTTGTGCTCCTGCTCTTTGTAACAAAAGCATTCCGTTCATGACCCCTTAAAGCAGCTGTTCCGTGGTACCAGAAAACAGGTACTTCTGTCAACTCTGCTAATTCTCACCTGAAGGGTACTGTGCTACCCCTATGTTAAAGGTGAGGAAAGTGGGGCACAGGGGGGGAACTTTCTTGGAGTATTCATACATTTATTCATTCATTTAGCACATAATTGAACTCCTGCTTTGTGCCAGCCTTTGGAAATGTGTCTGTGACTAAGGCAGATGAGGTCCTTTGGGGAGCTGAGGAAGAAAGACAAAGCAAAGAAACGACACATGTACAATGGGATAACATGCTGTCAAAGAACGAGAGTGCGCTGACGTTGGGAGTCGCTGGGGAGTCTGTTGGAGGCCCAGGGAGGGTGAGGGCAGGGAGGTGACGGGTGCGTTCCAGGTACAGAGAGGCGGGTGTGTCAGGAGTACAGAGGGCGGGGAGCATGGGCCAAGGCGTGGAGGCAGGCGGGGCGGGGATGCGGGGTGGGGTTCGTCCTGCCCAGGCCAGCTATCTGGATGGGCTGGAGCCGGGGATCCAGCTCCCTTTTTCACAGGCCAACACTCACTCAGTAAGGACTTTGGGTTTTACTTCATGTGAGGGGAGGTCCTGGAAATGTTTTAAGCAAGGGCATAAGTCTTTTTGATCTGATTTTTCAGAAAGCAGCACTGGAGTGCCGTGGACTACAGAGAAGCACATGTAATTGCTTCGGGGTCTTTCCTCCTACTCAGTTTTTATGAGTGGGCACTTTAGGTTTCTTCATCTGTTAACTTTCTATAAACCAAGGACTGGGTTTGGAGCCTAGCAGGGGCTTGGTAGATGGGTGACAAGTGACTGCACAGGTACCAGGCAGTGGGGTCTGTGCCACCTGGGCCTGGGAGGGGACGGGTTCCTGAGCCCTCTGCGACAGACCCTTTGCCATCCTGACACGACCTAAAGCTAGCAGGCACCATCATCGAGATGGGAACGTGGGAACACTGCCTGTCTCATGGGGTCTGTTGATGAGCGAGCACCCTGTGTCCCAGTGGCCACCTCCGAACTTCCATAGAGTAGTATGATCTGACGAGAGACACACACAGGAGTTTGAGGGGTGCGTGTGCACAGACACAGGCCCTGCCCTCAGGACTACAGCCAGGGGAGTGAGGGACAAGGGGCTGCCATGGTGTGGCCTGGCCCAGGCCCCCCCGCACACTGGGGTGCTCAGTGTGTCACCCACTCCTTTCCCCTGACTGGACGGCTCAGAGGGCAGCGGGCAGGGTGGCGACCGGACTAGAGGTTAGAGGGCTGGCATCCCTTGTAGGCAGGGGTGATGACAGCAGGTAGCTTTGGTACACGGCGGTGCCTGGGCCCCACCTGCGTAGAGGAGGAGTGCGAGGTCAGGCAGTGATGTGTTTGGTTTTACCCAATGGTCATCCTATTGGAGCCCTTCTTGCGTTGTCTGTTATGTCAGCTCCAAGAATGAAAACAAGAAGCTTTTCCCCAGAGTTAAATCTATACAAGTTGTTTTTCAGACCTTATACCTTAGAGCCAGGCTGATCTGGGGCCGAACTGGCTTCTTACAAGTTGTATGATATTGGGCAAATGACTAACCTTCGTGGAGCCTTCCTAAGCCCATTTGTGGAATGGGAGTCAAATGGCTTTGACTTCAGGCCGTGGGTGGGAGGAAGAGAGGGGCCCCTCCTCTCCCCCCCCTTCCCAGTAAGTGCTCCAGGAATGTCCATCACTGAGGGCAGCGATTTTCAACCCTTTTCATCTTTTGGCACACAAACTACGGAAATCCTGTGGCACACCAAAAAAATACATTTTTTGCCAATCTGACCAAAAAAAGTGTAATTTTGATCCATTCACACCAGACAGCTATTGTGTCGGCTGTTGTCGTTTTGTTCATTTGACAATCTAAAGGAAAAGCAGTTCAGGTTAGGGGTATAAACACTTCCCCTCTCTGCCCTTTCTCTCTCTCTCTCTCTCTCTCTCTCTCTCTCTCTCTCTCTCTCTCTCTCTCAACAAAACAAGCTCTGCTGAAAGCAGGCCTGGAGGAGCCCTGAAGGCTGAGAGCAGGCCCCCCGGCCCCAGGGGAGGGTCTTGAAAGGGAGGCCAGAACAAATGGCGGCTAAGTCACTCTGAATAGGAAACTGTCTGGAATTGTTTTTTGTTTGCTTCCTGAGAGAGGATGGGGAGAAGTGGTCAAGTACCTTTGTAGACAGCTGGAGTCCAGCTGGTGGGAATGGCTAAGGGTCTTTCTAAGCTCATGGATGTTTAATATTCAACTAAGTTTTTGTATTTTTGCTATGAAAACCCCCTTTTTCTCTCCACATCTTCAGTAAAGTCTGCCATGTACACAAAGGCTTTTGTGCGACTGATTTCTTTTACAGAAAGGAAAGTCTCATCTGTGGATAGAGCAACAAAAGCAGCAGCGGCCCTAGCGGCGTCATAGCTGAACCCGGCCAGCAGAAGCCATGTTCGCGTCCCCAGCAGCCCAGTCCCTCCCAAGACAATGGAAAGTACTTGGGGGTGCCTGCAAGCATAGGATACAGTTCAGGCCAGTGTCACTGGGCTATCAGACAACACGTGCCTTGGCTGCCGCCTGGGACTTAAATACCTTAACCACCTATGAAAGGAGGAAGTTCTAGTGCCAGGTTCTGTGAGCACTGTATTTTTAGAAGCATAGCATTGGTACTAAAATAACAGAGGGTCACAAAACACATTGGATTTGAAAGTGGTCAACATGAGAGGTGCAGGCAGGACTGGTAGGATGGGGTCCCTGGCTAGGCATTTTAGGAGCCTGATTTTAGCCCTGGACCCAGGAGTGAGCAGACCCACAGGCCTAGGTTGCTCACCAAAGTCAGAACAGTGTGATTGATAAGCCCAAGGGCCACTTCACTGATGAACATTGGACAGTGCCACTTCCGGGTCATGGGAACACCTATGTCTGCTTGTCTGCACATTCTTTCCTCCCTAGGGAATCCTTCCTCCATGGGAAACTGGATCACTTGTGTCTGGTGGCTTGTGCATACATTCAGGCACAGAGTTGGGTGAGCTTAAAGGACTGCCAGCAGCATGGAGAGTCTGGTGTCCCCGCCTCCACTTTGGGGACCTCAATTCTCCCACCCAAAGATCAAGGAATCCTTTCTTCTGGACATTGGTTAGAGATGGCTCCTTTTTTTGGTAACCACAAGACCTATTACATCATGTTGAAAAGCTCCAATTCTTGTGAATATTGTTGCTTGGCTTTCCTCAGATACTGTTGAGCACCTAACATGCATCAGCTGCTGTGCTACACTCACTAGTTCGGGGTTCAGAGGGGGATAATTATGAAGCCCCATTTACCTGGAGCAGCCCTCTGCCTTCGTCTTGGACCAGTGAGCAGGAGAGACCTTCCCTCGCAGGCAGCCCCACGCTCAGTCTGTGGGCTGGACCAGCAGTCTGACACTACCCTCTAGTCTTAGGCCTCAGGGCACTGAGGACAGGAAGCCTTAGACTGTGAGCTTTCGTTGGCTCTCAGGTTTGTGGGTAGCCCCGAGCATCACAGAGGGGCTTACTGCTTGGGATTGAGGAAAGGAAGAAAGCGGGGAAGGAGCAGGGAAACCTGAGAAAGGGTGAGAGTGTCACTCTTGTCCCCAAAGAAGACTTGTCCTTCCAGGCCCTGCCAGCAGGGGTTGGCATGCAGGGAGGCTGTTGTGGCACAGCAGGCTTCCCTGCACACTGCGAACACCCACCGAGCACAAACTCACCAACTGTATGCCAAGGACTATTCTAGGTGCTGACGGTGCCAGAGGAGAGTGCAAAGGCCCCTTCTCCCATGGAATGCCCATTCCAGTAGGCAAGACTGATAATAAGCAAGCAACAAGAAAAGGCAAATACACAAGAATATCAGGAAGCAATTAGTGCTTTGATGAAAATAAAACAGGATGATGTATCAGAACAGGGTTTGGCTGTATCCGGCCCACCGTCTGGGGGTTTTTTGTTTTTTGTTTTTTTTATCCCCAGGAGCTAGGAATGGTTTTTGTTTTTAAATGGGAAAAAATCAAAAGAAGAACACTCGTGACCTGTGGAAGTGGTAGGGAATCGGACTTTCAGTGTCCATAAACAGCTTTGCTGGAACGGAGCTGCAGGCACGTGCTTCCATGCTGTCAATGGCCGCCGCGCTGCAGCGTGGAGCTGCCTGGTGGGGACAGGCCTGCTACGGCTTGCAAGGCCTGACATACTGACTGTGTGCACTCTATTAAAAAAAGCAGGTGGTCACTGAAGGCTTTTCTGAGGTGGCAATAGGAGCCAGCCGTGTGAAGATCAAGGGGGGGTGCAGCTGGAGGAGCGGCCTGCCCTCCTTCCACGGTGGCCCCGCCCCGCCCCCCTCACTCACCTGAGGATAGCAAGGGTTTCAGGGGCGTGGTTCCTCTCCCAGCACGCTCGGTTCCCTCCGTTCCCTCCGGGTTGCGTTTCTCTTGGTTCGTTTTCGTCTCAGTCATGTGGGTTAGAGCCTTTCCTCGGAAGCCCCACTATTGTGCCATTGTCTGCTTCCACCCAAGGGGGCACTGGAAGCCCAGGGAGGCTCTGGCCAGGCGGGCAGGTGTTGGAGGCCGGCCGGCCGTGGCCGTCAGGCGCGGGGCTCTGATTTTAGGGAGTGGATTTCATGTGGGTATTTCTTCCTGGCCCAGTCAGATTTCATGGGAAGTGTTCCCCCAGTTTCTTGCTGGAGAGAACTGTCTGGCCACCAGCATTCTGGGCACTAAGTGGGAGAAAAATGCCAGGGACATCTCGATACTCAGTATGCATACTGTCACCAGTTCGCCTGTTTTCTGTGCAGTACTCTTGCGTTCAGCTGGACCTGGTGTCCGCCAGCCTGGAGACACCCATGTTACCCTCTCGCCGGGAAAGAACTCCTGGCTTCTGGCTGAGCTGGTGCGGGGCAGCCCCCACTCCATGGAATCAAGGAGAGGATTTGGGGAGCTCTCTCTTTTTGAGCTGACTTTGAGCAGTTCCCTGACTTTACCTCCATTTCCAGAGACACCTGGTACCATTGATTCTTTTTATTTATTTTTTAAAGGGTTTTACTTATTTATTTTTAGAGAGAGGGGAAGAGAGGGAGAAAGAGAGGGAGAGAAACATTGAGGTGTGAGAGAGACAGCCATCAGTTGCCTCTCACACACCCCCACCCTGGAACTTGGCATGTGCCCTGCCCGGGAATTGAACTGGTGACTTTTTGCTTTGTAGGGTGATGCCCAATCAAGCCACGCCAGCCCGGGCTAGAGATACCTTTAAAAAAATCCCTCTATGGTCATCTTACACAGTTTCAAGTTTGAGAAACGTAGTTCTGTTGAGTCAACCGCCTTTGTCCTGATTCACTTATTTGAAGTACCACTCCGATCATTGGGTGAAGACAGACAATAGGAGAGCAGGAGTGGAAGCAGG